AAATGATGGAGAAATGAGAGCAAAAGAGCAATTGTAAACCTAATAATAGCTCAAAGGTGCAGAATGTTCAAGTCTCCTTGATTTAGGATTTTGTTTTGCTGTGATTCTTTCATGAGGAGCATAATTTCTGAGGATCTTCATGGTTGGATTCAAAAAGGGTGTCTCTGCTGTAAGGTCCTGCTCTGAGCATTTAAAGGGGAGTGGAGAAGCCTTACACTTCAGTAATGTTTCATACAGCTACCCTGTAAAGAGCAAGCTCCTAGCACATCCACAGAAACATTAACGTCTCCCCTTAAAGAGCTGGATATGTCACCTCACAGGTCCTGAGGAAAAACAGTTGTGCTCAGGCTGCCAGAGCTGCACAGCTCATTTCAGTCTTCTAAGAACAAATTTGTCTGTTTGCCTTATTTATCTGTTTAATTTGTCAACTTTTCCAGGAAGAAAAATGCTCAAATGAGCTGTGATATCAGTAACAATACATGGGAGTTGTCCCACCACTAAAGTTTTTCAAGAATTTTTGTTTTTATTTACCCATTTTAGGCTGTGGGCTAAGTGTCAGAAGCTCAAGTGATTTCATGTTGATTTTACATTGCATTAATACAATGCTTTCTCTTTGTAGTAACTGCTTACATAGCTTTTTCTAAAATTAGAAGAAAAAAACCCACAAAACAGTAAAACTACGCAGAATGCAAAACAAAACCAAACCACAAAACCAAATAAAAAACAAACCAGTTTTGTGGCTATCTGGAGTGTTTGTCAGGTTCCAGCAGCTCATTAAGCAATCAAAGTTTTGTTCAGTCCCCAGCTGGTGGCCAGCAGGAGGTGAGGGTAGGGGAAAGGGGATAGAACAGTTGTAAAAGTAAATATTTACTCATGAAATCTCATGCTTTAATCAGCTACCATAAAGGAGGAGGGGAAGTATCTTCATGGATATCAGCACAAGCACTGTATCCTGATAATATTGAGACCCAAAGAGCAGTCAAGACAAAAAGCAGAAGGAACAATGTTACATTTTACCTCCTGGTCATCTTAGAAACATTAATACTCCATTGGTGTCTTTTCTTTCCAAACAGTTCAAGTGACATCTTCTAATCTTACAAAAAACCTCACCTGAGTCCTGGTTTGCAGATGGGAAAGGTTGGATCAGAATCTGTAAATTTTTTTCTTGGGTCTCTTCATTGCCATCTCTTATAAAATTGGTTCCAAAAGTGCAGGACCAAACTCTCAAACTACAGTTTGTATCTCATGCATGTAGCTTTTCCTGATCAATTACTAATAAAGAGAGAGGCTGTGGTGTCTCCATCTCTGACAGTCAGCAATACAAACTCTGCACACAAAAGACTCTGCTTCCAAGGAGCAGGGTTTGAAGAAGCAGATGTGGAACATATAAATGGATAAATACAGTTGATAGGGAGAATGAAGAGTATTCAAAAGTTTAGCCTGTTTCATGTAGGCTCAGTGTTGACCTGACTGGATTTACTCCTCTTTTACACTTGTATGCTTGGGAGAGACAGACATGTAATGGGTTAGGCACCTTGTATTCTCACTGCAGTGGATAAATCAAGTTACTGGCCTCACTTCTCTGTGGACCTCCATTAAAGAGCTGTTCCTCAGTAAGTCTGGTTACTCGGGCACTGTGAAAACAGGTGGGTATGAGTTGCTGGGCAAGCCTGACCCCGTCCTGCTGAGAGAGCGCATCCTTATCCAACCTGCCGATGACACCAAGCTGGCAGGACTCATGGATACACTTGTTTGATGGGTAGCCATCCAGAGGAACCTGGATGGGGGAAGGAAGAGGCCAACAGGAGCTTCATGAAGTCCAGTCAGGACAAATGCCCAGTCACTGCCTGGGGCACAGAGCCCTGGCAGCAATCCCTCCAGGACTAGTGGGATGGGGGAACAGCTCTTTGGGGATGGCCCAGGGCCGTGTCAGTCACTGAGCTGAACAGGAGGCCAGCAATAAGGGCCCAAGCATCCTGTGTGAGCAGGAGTCCAGCCTAGAGGAGGACAGGGGTTATTCCCCTTGACTCAGCACTCTTTAGATTACACTTGGGTACTGCCTCCAGTGTTGGGTCCCTGCAGCACAGGAAAGACATGACAAACTGAAGCAAGTCAGTTCTACACGTGCTACCAAGAGGGTTGGGGGCTGCAGCACTTGCTCTGTGAGGAGAAGTCTGCAGAGATGGGTCCAGTTCAGCCTCAGACAGCGATGGCTTTGGGGGGACCTCTCAGCAGTCCCCAGCACCTACAGAGTGATGATTGCACAGGCAGAGACAGGCTCTTCACAGTGGCATGTGCAGGGACAGTGAGAGACAACAGGCGTAAGCTGAAACTAGAGAGATTTGGACTGGATATGAAGAAAAAATTTTCACTGTTAGGACAGCAATGGAGCAGATTGAAAAGGAGGCTGTGGTGTCTCCATCCTTGAAGGTTGCCAAGGCAATCTGAATAAAGCCCTGAACACCTTGGTCTCATCTCATGTCTAACCCTACTTTGGGCAGGAGGTGGTGGGATTGCAGACCTTCTGATGTCCCTTTCATCCTGAATTACCCTGTGACTCTCTGTGAGTATCTGCTTCAGGAGTCGAAGTAGAAGCAGTGCCTCCTGTTTGTAGGAAGGAGCTCTGAGGAAAGAACAGGATGTTTCCCCCATCATCTTTGCATTGACAGTGATGGTTTTAGTATAGCAAAATTTCATTTCTGGGTTCTAAAAAGTTTCAAGAGTAAGGGATGAAAAGAGATACTTAGAATTCTGTCACCTAGAAAAAGGGACAAATGTTTTTGATTGACATACTTATTTCACCATCTCGATAGGTCCTTTAGGGCATATTTGATGGTAAACTGCCTGGTTGTTTTTCACTCTCTTCAGTGAATTCTTTTTTACTATCTTCAAGTTCTGTCTAGGGACCTTGGTTCAACATCCTATCTCCTGTCCTGACTCCCATGTTAGCCTCAGAGCCACACTCAAGTTCTGAGCAAATGTACCCCCATTTCAGGGCTGGGCTGTTCTCAGAGAAGGTAATAAAATGATGTCAGACTTGCATGAGAACTGCAGTCTTGGCTGGGGAAGTGGTGAGGGTCTCAAGTGGGCTAAAAATAGTTTTGGGTTCTAGGAACATGTTGAGAATGTGATGGAGGATCACAGACTCAGTGAGGATTTTTATTGGTTGAGCAATTTCCTGAAGCTGTCTCTTCACAGCTGGAGAGGTTACAGCCTAATGCAAAAGCAGGTTTTGTTTTCCTGCACTGCAGACCATCCTACACCCCCCTGCCAAACGATCTTATCCACACTACTGCACTAATGCTTCAGAAGAAGCTGAAAAATGAACACAACATAATTACAGTTCTGTCAGCACTGGTGCCTGTCAGGACCAGCTGCCTTCTGCAGTCATTCTCTATTCTCCTTGCAAAACATAAATTTGGGTACGCCACAAGCATTAACCAAATACAAAACAAAGCAACAGAAAGCAATGAAGGTATAATATTGCTCTAGTCCCCTTAGACTAAGGATTCACTTATTCCAGGAGTTCTGAGTGACTAAGCTAAGTCAGAAAGCCAGTGTTAGCAACAAATAGGTCACTTTGGAAGACCACTGCAGAATGGCTGAGTGCTAAATTCTTACAAGCTGTTCCTGGAACAAAAAAATAAAAACACCATCAGAACAACTTTCCAAGCCCAGTGTAGATAAACATGCCAGGTCTCAGCTGCTGATATACATACCACCTTTACAGTTTAGAAACTAAATTATTATACTTACTTTTTTGTAGGCAGTGCCTCTGCTGCTACAAGCTTCTGGTGAGGTGTTTGCAGGCAAAGATACCCAGTCCTTCTAATCACTAACTTTTATAAAATTCTTGACAGCTTCCCACCCCCTCTCCTTCATTGTCCCTCCTCCCTCCCCAGGCCGACTGTCTGTCGTTGGCTATCAGACCACCACCGCACACCTCCAATGGGACCGGGTCATTCTCCTGCTGTTCCTTCCCTTTTCCCTCCCCTGTGTATATATAAGGCCATTTACCATGCACTGAAATGGAGGTGTTTTCCAGTTATTTCAAATTATTCCTCCTCCTCCTAAAACAGACCGAAAAGAAGTGCAAGAGGAACTGTGGAAATTGTTAACAGGGATCTTGGGCATAGCTTTGTGTTTAGGTTTAGATCTTTTGAAAGCTTATACTTAGGAAACTACTCAGTGCAGGGAGGAAGAGTAGAAAACAAAATACAGAAACAATGCAACAGATCTTTAATTGGCATGAGCTGGTATCATTTCTGTGGCTTCATAAGTGTTACACTGCTCTTCCTCACTGGAAAATTTAGCATGGAAACATATTTTCCCTTTCCAGTTAGTATGTGGAAAGGCAAAATGTGATGCTACAGCATCAGGGTTAATAAAACAGCAAGCTCTGATGTTCTGTAACCCAGTGTATGCGTGAGAATGATGGTCATCACACAAAATATGCCCACATTGAGGTGCACAACTGCAAGCCAAATTTTCCACCAAAATCCCATTGAAACATCCACCCACATGGCAATGACATACAAACTTCTCAGTTGCTTAGCAAAATTTTTCTGTGAAAAATACTGATGCTGTATAAATAGTGTATTAGCACTCCAGTTTACATGAAACCATGCTCCAGCTATTCCCCAGACCCAGGGAGGTTGATTATTTGTTTTATTCTCTCCCCCCATATTCCATATTGCAGGTCAGTTTTCCTGGAGGGAAGAGCAGCGCAGGGACTGTTAGGCAAACATCATACCCTCAGCAACAACACAGCAACCTTGGACATTGGCACATTTTTACCACAAAGACCCAGTGTTTGCCTGGGGAATGACGTAGTTTCTCAGTTTGTTTGGCTCATGCAGTGACACCTTTAGCCTTTACTGGACTTGTAGGCAATCTCAGCAACTTGCATGCTGCCAGCAGTAGCACTTTATGACAGTCAGCATAAAGTGAAAAAGCTGAGAATGCAGTCCAGCTGAAGGCCTTGTGCTTGCGTTCCTTTGTTTTCTTTAATGTTGTCCTTCCTGATCCATACTTTTTTGCTGAAGAATGCTGTGCCACATAACATGCACATAAAGCCTTCCCTGCTTTACAGTGTTCACTTTACATTCCATTTCTCCCATCCTAGCAGAAAGACAAACCCCATGATGTACTAAAGCTTCTCCACCACAACAGAGGCATCCAATATAGATTAAAATATTTTTAATTAAATACAGTATCTAAGACCCTCTTGAGACCACGAAGGTGTCATACTGGGCCACAGAAAAAAAATCAGAATTTCAGTCCTGTCGCTCCTGGTTTGGTAGAAACTGTCACAGGACGAAAGTACTTGGAAGTGTTTCTTTCCCAGTGTCATCTGTGATATGGTCTGATAGCCTATTAGAGAAAATCTGTGGGAGTCTTCTTGAAAAAAAAATCAAGTGTCTGACATTTAGAAACCACTTTAGATAATCTTCTGCAGCCCACTTTGCATTCTTATTTCTTTCAGAAGTATATATATCTTTTTTCCAGGCGGATAATTACTGATATGTGCCTTTCTAGACCTTCTGAGCCAACACTTAGCACTCCAAGCACTAGGATTACAGGTCCTAGCAGAGATTTTGAGGAGTGAGGAGATAAAAAGGTGAGTGGACATGATGGTTAACTTTTCCACTTAGTTTAGGAATGGGAGCCTTTTCAGGCAAGAACATGGAATGAGGAATTATGCTGGATGATGTCACTGTAAGGTTTGGTCCTGTTAGCATGCAGACTCATGACAGTGACCAGAAATTGCAGTGATATTAAAATGGAAAAGAGTACATACTTTCATCATAAGTAATCATACAATATTTGTAGCTCTAAAAATTAGGTTATAGTGGTATTGTGTATCCTTAAATGATAAGAGGAATAAGCTTGCGTCGTGAGGGGAATGCAGCGTACTTGCATTTAACCAAACAACTAACCTGGTCCATAAAAAGTACAAATCATTGCCTGCAATAATCATTCTGTGAAAAAAATTGGTGTATTATCCAAGGCGCAAGCCTGTGTCATGGAGTTCATGATTAATCTCAGTATTGCCAGTTCACTCACCTTTCCAGTGACTCAACGGATTTTTTTAATGGCTTCTTTTTCTGCTTAAGCCTTTTTCAGACTAAGGTGGTGCAGCCCTAGGGCTGTAGCTGGACAGAGGCTGTCTGCTGGTGTGAGTAGAGGGGGCTATACCCAGACATTATGGGAACAGAGACTGGATTTGTGGCCATGAACACCAAGAAAACAAGAGGCAAAGAGAGGCAGATGCCATGCAGACAAATGTTGAGGGGTCCAGGTAACCACTTTGTGACAAAGTGGCTCCTTAATAGTGTGAAACAAACACATTTTGTAGCATTCATTGCTGTTTATGTTGCCACCCATTGTGGTGGTACCTTGGGTTTGTCTTTTGCAGTTTGCAGGGTTGCCAGTGGGAGTTCAGTTTCAGAGGAAGGACCACGTCTTCTATGCATCCCTGGGGTTCCTCATCCCCAAATACACGTACCTAACCAAATACGGCGATTGAGGAGTTTCTGCACAGATTATAGCTTTTTTATGTGTTCATGAGAAAGCTGATATAAACTGTCTTGCAATATAAAAAACCTTACAGCTTGTTCAAATCCGTGTTTGAAACATCACTGCAAACAAGATGCATAACTAGTAAGAGCTTAAATGTTCATTGCTGTGCCTTTTATAGCATGAAACAGAAAATAGTAGTTAGGTATAAAAGAGACTGCTAAAGTTAAAACACAAATGTCTGGCATTTTCTCTCACAACTATGGCACAACATAAGTGTATTTTCTGTTTGAATGGCTTGGAAATTTTGCTGGTGTTGACTTTTCCATATGAAATCACCATACGAAAGTTGACAGAAGTATGCATTTAAAATGTTAAAGAATACCAAAAACTGTATTCACAGATGGCTTGGGTTGTTACTTAGGTCTTAATTTGTTGGTTTGCTTTCTGGAGTTTGACAGTGCAAGTACCAGGTTTTCATAGTAGAAGTTAATTTAATTGCCGTCCTTTTTACATCCAGCCTTGCTGTCAAAGGATCTGCCAGTTCTGCACTGAAATTTTGAGTGAAGTCTTGCTGGATAAAGTACATTAAAATCAATGGAAAGTCTGGTTTAAAGGCAACAGGTAAAAAGTTTTGAATTGCTTATATTCTTCCAGGTTGGAGATTGTGTTTTTTTCTGTCTGGTTCTACCAGAATAGTTCTGATACTGTTTTTGCGTTTAATTACTCAAACTAACTAGCATTTTAAAAACAAATAATAGGCAAATGTGAAGAGAGGCAAACTGTAGTACATCTGAGAAAGAACAATGAAAGAAATGGATGAAGCAATTTCAGAGATGACACGGTCACCAAGAGAAAAATTAAAAGCTTAAAGCTTCCCTCTGTAAATGAAATACTGTTTAACCTTATCAACACTTTTGGACGTGGTCAGACCTGTACAGGGTATTGAAACGGAATGGAAAAAAACAGTGGGAGTTGGAAGCATGTCCAAGAATCATATGCATCCACATGAAAAACACCTGGCTCTGTGGCCCTGAGAGGCTGCTGCCTGCGTGATGGGGTTAAAGTCTAATCCAAGCTGAGTCTGTCTCCTGCCCACCTCTCCACACTGTGCTGGATGTTTCCTGTTTTCTGTACTCTGCAGTCTTGCTCAACTATCTCAAAGTCCAGCTTGTTCATCCCTATCTAATCAGAGGTATTGTTTATTAAGTAGTTTGTTTTCCCCACTCGCCTACAGCCTTCACCCCCAATGTGGAGAGCCTGGCTTAACCCCTCCGAAAGAAATTCCCCTGTATTTTTGGCTCCACAGACACGAACATCATGGGCAAATGGGGTTGTTGGGCAGAACAGAATCATGCCCACAGAGCCCACCAAGGGGATTGAACAAGGGAGGGTTTGCTTTGCTCTTCGTTCTGTGCGACTTAAAGCTGGGCTGCAATGAACACCATGACTTGGAATGAAAAATAGGCAAGCACACAACATCACTGTTATCAGAACCCAAATCTTTGTAATAATTTCAATAGTGAGCATAGCAAACCATGATACGACTTTAAATTGGGCTGCCTGAGGCAACATTTCAGGGCTCTGCAAACCACCTGTAACAGGACATGAAGGTAAGTGCTGTGATGACACTGGTCTCTGTGCTTTTCTGTTGACTTTTGTTTCTGAAAAAGTAAGTAGGCAAACAACTAGCTTCTGTAGAAGGAGACACTTAACTGTTTATTACCTGTTTCTCTAGTCAGCACACAGTCCCCCCAAAAAAGCACAATCAGGTGCTGCATGTTAATATTCGCATACAGTTTGTAAAACACAAACCCCAACAGATGTCTGGAATGAATCAGCCTGCTGAAAAGACCATGGTAGGTGTGGTTTCTGCACCACTACAGGAACACTGGATACCATGGCAGAAATTCAAAGAGAAGGTAGGCACACCTGTCCAGAGGTTTATGTAACAGGGCAATAAAATATGTCTTATTTTTCATCATCAACATTTAAAAATCACTGTTGTTATACAGCTGCGAAAGTGGCATTCATAGCTTGCCATGAAGAACAAAGTTGTGGAAAGGCACATTGATGTTGCTTGGCCTGTAAGTGCATGGATAAAGTGGCTGATGGCGTGGATTCTCCTAGAGGACAGATACTCTGAGAGAATGAAGTTTCTTCAGCACAGAAACACATGTAGTGAGAAAGCACAGACCACAGAGTACCTAATTCTCTCTACATTTTTCACAGATGTGTTTTACTGAAGATTATTCAGAACCACAGGTTGGGCCCTGCCATCTGCTGAATTTGGATACGATGTCTGCAAAGCTGGTGTGGAAATAACATAAAACAAAACTCTGCCTTTGGGAGAGAAACTGCCAATGCCTTTGTAGCTACAACTGTCTCCCACAGAAAATTACCTTTCTTATTTTGTGAAATATGTACCCTCTCCATACAAATGTAAGCTAAGGTTAAATTCCAGCTCTCAGAGCTTGATTTTATCTCAAGTCCCTGCTAAAATGCCTCAGTACTTGATTGGAGAAGAGCAAGAGGACTCTGCTCTAATGAGACCTGCTTTGAGTGTGGAATTGGACCATGGACCTTCATAGGTCCTTTTCAACCTGTGTGGCTGTAGAATCAAAATTATTACATCTGTGCAGACGCATGAACATGGAATTATCTTTTTTTATCAAATTCGGTAAGGAAAGATGGATCTGTCAGTCAGGAATACAAACAGAAAGACCAGACAACAGAGTTTTACTAGAAAGGTTGTTTATTTTCTTGAAAGTTTGCTTGTAAATAACTATTAAAAAAAAAAAAAAAGAAAAAAAATTAGCCTGCATCCAGACAAATTGCTGTTGAAATACCCAATCTAGTGATTCACAGCTCCTCACCTCTGGAAGGAAGGCTTTTCCCTTCTCTTTTCAAATGCAGTGTCTTCTCACTAAGACATTGATTCTCAATGCAGCTAGAAAATCCTCTTGAGCTTCAAATCTAATAACCTGTTATTTTATGTCCTGTGTTCTGCCAGAATCATGCTTATGTTGGACATGTCTTGGAAACAAATGCAGTTTTGGTCTAATTTAATAACTTGTCTTGGACAATAAAGCCTTGAGTCCTGCTGCTGGCCCATTAAGAAAGAATCCTCCTGTGCAAGCAGTAGTAGTTGTGTTCAGAAATAGTCTCCAAACTATTGGGAATAAACCAACACCCAAGAAAAATGACAGTTTGTTTAAAAAACAGTCACTAAGTCTGTTTTAAAGTGAATGAAACCAAAATCTTAGGGCCACATTTCAAAAAGCTAATGCTATGCCTTGAACTTATATAGCCTGTGATACTGCAACTCAGCTCCACTCTCCCCTGGTAGAAAAGAGAGGGAAAAGGCTTTTGTGTGTTTGAAACTGCATTTTTTGCCTGAACTGCAGAACAAAATCCAACAGGAATTAAGAATTCACAGTAACCTCCCATTTTCTGTTCTGAGGGTGATGTACACTTCTCTGACTTGAGGCACAGAAAAGAGGAACAAAAATCACTGTACCTGTGATGGGTCAAAGGCAGCAGCACCAGATGGAGCCCTTGCCTGAGATGCCCCACTGGCAGGGTGGGCACTGCCCAAGTACCAGTAACTCAGAAACAGCTCCCAGCAGGCTCAGTAAAAGCAGCGCCTCTGTTGTGAAGGTGAGTTGTGCACTTAAGAAAATCATTCCAGAAGGCTATAAAGAATTAACCTGCTTCTTGCGCAAAGGAGTTTGTTCTCAACTGGTTTATCTGAAACTCTCACACTTGCAAGTTCAAGCCCCAGGCCCTCTGCATATTGTTTGGTCTCCCAGTCAACTTCTCTCATCTCTTATGACCTGAAAATTGTCTTCTTGTTTAGAAGGGATGCCTCAAATTCGTGTTCTCAATTTTCAGCTCTGAGGCTCAGTGAAATTATTGACCTCCCCTGGACTTTTGGGCTGACAAAGTACTACCGGACAAACAAGGAAAATAACTTTTGAGACAAATGGATAAATAATTTCTCCATATGACAACATTTAGTAACGGTATATAGTTAATTGGTTTCTTTTCCCTCCTCCTTTTTTCATTCCCTGACCCATTTTTTGTACATTACTGTGAGATCTTTGCAAGAATGAATATGAATGGGCCCTCATGAAAAAAACAGGGCACTGTCCTGGATTTGTATAGCACAAAGATATAAAAGAGTGAAGAGAAAAAGAGTGTCAGCAGTGAAACATTCAAAGCTGAAGATGCAGAAACAAGTTGCATATGCAGGCACTTAGTGAAATAAATACATGACAACACTCAAATCCTGTCATCCTGACCCTGTGTAAAGCCTAAGGTTTGCCCATCTGCCTTGGTATCCTCCGGGTTTTCAGCAGATGGGAATTTTGCCTGTGCCATTTTTCCAGCGTCCTCTGGCAGGAGAGGTGTTTTGCCTTTGGAATGACATGAAATCCACCAGCAGTTTTTACTTACCTCTGATTTCCAAACCTGTCCCAAAAGTATTCCATCTGATTATTGGGAGAGCAAAGCACTGCTCTGATGCCATTTCTGTGCTAACCTGCAGTATGTGTTTGTGTTGTGTAACTGGTACCCACAGTGTCCTGATAGATATTTTCTTTGGTTTCATTTCTCAGGAGTTTTAAGTCTTTCACACCTATAAGCAGACCTGTTAAGGCATAAATCACCTAGGAGAGACCTGCGGGAAGAAAATTCAAAGCAGAGCTCTTCCATAACCAAAATAAAAAAACCCAAACAACTAAACTCAACAAAAATATTGTCTGTGGTTCACTCTAAAGCTAGGAATGAGGTTTTAAAAGCAGTTCAACCAAATTCCACATATAAGTGGAATTTGATTCAAATCCCACTATAGCCAAGGTGGGCTTTTCATTAGATATACACAGTTTTTGCCTGTTTTCAATCTGTATGAGATCTTTTGTCACTTACATGGTTTTATATTTAACCGTACCCACCTCCCTGGTACAAAGTACCTATCCAAATGCCTAACAACCAGGGCACACAAAGTTAATGGGTCACTATTAGAGTGGCCTCTTGATGTACTGTGCTATTGGTGCCTGTCTTTGTGAAGAGATAACAGATAACAGGTGTTTTGCTTCCTGCCAGGAGCAGTGAATGCACCACTCAGGTCGAGATGGGAATTACAGCTCCAAAATGAACAAGGATCCTGCACAACAGCAGCACCTGATCTAATCTTTCCTTTGCCTCTGTGCTGGTAGGAAGGCAAGGTAAATTAATCTTGAATACCTAAGTTCAATTGGTGACTGATAAGACCTCCTTTAATGAGCTAGATTCACTACAACTAGTGATGAAACCAACCAGCACAGGAATCAATCCTGTGATGTGTATTAACATCTGTCGCGTATCAACGAAAATGTGCATTTGTGACCCGTCTGTGCAACACCAATGGATGTGATTCTGTTTTCCTATTCCTACCCTCAGAGTTCACAATTAATGGAGCAGCAGAAGCTTTATTTTTAAGAGCCTCTGGTCTGAACAAAAAGAATGGGAAGGGTGGAGGTGCAGATAGGATCTGCAGGGGGAAACAGTAACTAATAGAGGCTTCATAAAATTTTAAGCATCCAGACAGAATTTGCGGGGAAGTTCCCGTAAACCACCTCTGCTTTTGAAGGGTCTGCTCAAAACCACAGCTTTGAAACAGACAGAGGTCAGAGATCAGACCTTAGTAAGGATGAGGAAATAAGGCCTGCCCTTCCTCATTAGCTTAAATTTAAAACATTCATTTTGTCCCACATTTCTGTTGCCCTAAGGCAAATTTTGTAATCAGTGTACAGAAGAGTAGGCAGGATAGCTGTGCATGTTGGTGTGAGAGCTTTTCTTTAAGAACAGTGGGCAACCCACACCTTCTGCTGGGATCATCCACTCCCCTCCCAGGTGATGCATGGTAAATATTAAATAGGGTCTATATGTATATAAGTTGATTTTCTTAAGGACCTTTGTGTTTTGGTTTTTTTTAAAGAGAGTTATTCTTTGTCCATTTGGAGGCACAGGAAGCCCGGTGCAAGCAGCACAATATCCCAGTTTGCACACTTCCCCTTCCGCCCGGTGGCAAGTTCCCTGGCTTTTGTGTCTGGAAAGGCATGCACAGATCACAGTAGCTTCGGGCTGCTGTTCAGCCGGAGGCTGGAATACATTCCCACATGCCGGACCAGATTGGGTTCCACCACATAGGCGTTCTCCCCCTTGGCCCACAGCAGGGAGTAGAGGGCAGTGTCCTTAGCAAATCCCTGCCGGCAGTGCAGCCCCTGCAGGTAACCTAAGGCACGCCGGGCAGAGGGAGCCGGGAAGAGCATAGCTGGGGTGCAGCACTCGGTGACTGGCACCACGTTGTAGAGCGCGGGGTGCAGGCGGCGCAGCTCCAGCAGGTAGTGCCGCCCCACCAGCTCCGACAGGGCCATGCTGTACAGAGCAAAGAACAGCACGAGCAGCCAGCTGGGGCTGGGCCGCCCCAGTGCCCATGAGTACACACAGCTCAGCACCGGCCCCAGCAACATGCCCAGGCCCAACCACTCCAGGATCCTCATGGGCTCCGGGTTGAAGTAGTGCTGGAGCCGCTCAGGATGGTAGAGCTTGAAATAAAGAGCATCTCTGAGATATGGTTTGGAGAACCGGGCCAAGAAGAGGTGCTGCAGGACAGAGAATATCTCCTTCTCTGGCACAGCATCATCTTCCACTACAAGGATGTACTGTGGGTTGTATGATAACAGGGACTGCTCAAGGCAGAAGACATAGTCCTGCTTCTCCTTCTCAAACTGGTTCACTCTGGGGTCAGGGTTCTCTCCAGTTCTGTCACGACTGACCATAGGAAAGAAGCTGCTCAGCAATCTGACATCCTGATGGCTACTGGGGTCTGACTCCACGTTGCAGAGGAGCACGCGGTGGCTCCGGCAGCGTGCACCACATTCCTGGAGGAGGCGGTGGAAGCGGGAGGCCACTTGCAGGACATAGTGGAAATCATACCGCCTCTGCACAGTGATAATGGTGATCAGCAGCAAGGGCTGGAAGGCATCACTGCCAGAGGCCTCAGAGGCATTTGGTATCTGCATCTTCTCAAAGTAATGGAGGGCATCCTGTCCCTCCTGCTGGTTGTGCTCCAGGAACTCGTGGCTCATGGGGTTCAGGTGCCAGCGCCGCAAATAGAAATAGGAGTGGAGGAGCCGGTGGCAAATCAAAGGGGCAACCACCCCGAACGTCATCACAGTCAGCATGATAAGATGGACAACAGAGCTGGACCAGCGGCACCACCTCCCACAGAGCTGCCAGGCTTGGTGTAACATAACTGCTGCAGAAGGAGGGCACTCCTGTGCTGTTCATCCCTCAGTCCTTCAGTTCCAGTGCATGCTCCTCCCTGGATAGCAAGATATCACTGGGGCAGTGGCTTCCAAACCTGCACAAGTTGTCCAAGCCTAGAAAGGAAGAAAAATGATGGTTACTGAAATAGGAACTGACAGAGAAAACGGAAAGCAGGGGGTTAGTCACTGAGTAAGCCAAAATACATAGCCCTTTAGGAGTCCCTTGTGGTGGGGGCATCACAGAATAGTCCTGGAAGGTTTAGGACAGATGAGCCAAACTCAGTTTCCAGCAAAGTGCCCCTAAGCCCTTTTTATCATGTAGGAGCTCTGATCCAACTTAGCTCGATAGGACTTCGTTGTGTTTGTTACTGTGCTTCAAACACGTAACAACAGACAATGTGAATGGAGGATGTGTGGAAATCCTTTCCTGTTAAAGACAGAGAACTTAGATACCACTTTCTGGTCACAGTGACACAGTAAGATTTGTGTTACAGCCAAGAACCACAGCCAAACCCCTTGTGTCTTAGCCTAGCATGTATTTGAGAGACAAACTTTTACATCTCTGGAATGACACATGCTTCCCTTCTGTTGCTCACACACTTACAAGCGCCTGCTTTTTCACTTTCCTCCCTGGAGCGTGAAGCCAGATAACAAAGAGACCAATTTACTTCACCAAGGGCCCATGTACATGCTAAGTGTAATGTGTGTGCCTGTGTGCCTGTCTGTCTCTTTCAGATGTCTCCTCCTTGCTACACCCTGTGAAATACACAGGCACAGCAAAATGTTGCAACTGAGCCACTGACTCATATTTCTTATTTAAAAGTTTTCTATTTAAAAGTATATGCCTCTTATTTAAAACTGAAACATTCATATAAATATATAAATTTTTTGTACAGATACACACTTAAATAAACATCCACCTTTGCAAAAGTTAGAGTTTGCCACATTTGGCTTTTCTGTTCTACTTCTCTGGCTGCCATGAACACCTCACGGCCTGGCTGTCAGAAGCTTACACAAAATCAGGGTAATTAAGCTGTTCAGATAAATTCTGTTGTGCCACTAATCTCCCTTTTTAATCTGCTGTTTCATTCTCCCTTTAATTTCCTATTCCCTCTCCTTCTGAACTGAGTTATCCATACCCCCCACTGAGCTGACGGGTCTTCAGTGGAGAGCTTCTCTGACTTTTACCTTCTGCCTTCAGCAAGTTCTGATCATCAAGTGGTGCTCCTAGACCAAAATGTTACTCTTTGTTCTCCTCTGCACTGTCATCTGAAGGAGCTTAAGCAATGTTGGGTGGGTAGAAAGAAATGATGGCTTTTCTCTTCTGTCTCAGAAAAACGGATCTTGTACAAGAAATGACCTGGAGGAGACAGATCAGGATCTGACTGGGGGAACTTCAAAACCGCCTTCATTACTGTAGTCACAGATTTGCTGGTTTTATGATTCAGAGAACCTTTTTCTATTGCCATATGGGAAGGTGACAACATTCTATGAAAGGCCTTTTAACAAGATTAATGGAAAATATTTGATAGAGAACAGGCATCCTTAAATAGACTGTGGTGTCAGTGTTGTGCTCTCTTATGATTCAAGAAAAGATTTAGAGTAATTAAATAGGAATAACAAATTTATATGTTGATGCATGAGAATCTGCACCCATATAGCTTTTTTTTTCTTTTTGAAACAATTGTGAAATGATCCTGTTTCACAGACACTGCATTGCATTGTACCAGTGGACCTCGTAAAGGCCTTAAAGGTGATGGCTGCCTTTCAGCTGTGAAATCCAAGTCATGAGGATTCAGGACATGAAGACCTTTGCATCTATCAGATGTAAAGACCTGGCATTTAAATCCATTTATTCATCCAAAGTCCTGGGCTTTCCAGCTAACCTGTCACAAGCATTAAGGAAACACACAAATGCAGAATCATATTCTACAACTCACACTGGCGTACTGCTAAGTCTCCTCTTGATATGAGCATCACTGTGGGCACTGTATCTGAGACAGACTCCAAATGTGAAAGTGAGGACCACAGTGGGAAAAGGAGATGAAGAAAAGATAGAAGGCAGTTTAGTTCTCGGAAGTAAAGAAGTTTACTTTCCACCTGCCAGCTATGCCAAATATCTGAGATAAAAAAACTGTGAGACAGCAGTGAGCTCTTGGGATATACACTGAATATATGAATATACATTAATAATTCTTTGAGCATGTTTTAATTAATAATTCTCCAAGCAACCTGGTCTAGTGAGTGGCATCCCTCACTGGAGGGCTTAGAACTAGCTGGTCTTTAAGGTTCCTTCTAAGTGAAATCACTCAAGGAGGCCTCCTTCCCTCATACCATCTTCTACTGAAGAAGGGGTGTCCTGTCTTCCCTGGTGGCCAGCAGAACTGGAGGAGTTGAGATGAGATGAATCAAACAGATTCATCTCATGAGATGAACCAAACAGATTTTCACCTGAGGTCCTGCTCTTCTGCAGCCCGTGTTTTTTAAGGGTGAGGCTCACCTGAAGGTGAGTCCCAGGCCCCCGCAGGGGGACTCACACAGAGTCTGAAGTCCAACAGTCCCTTCTCCACCCACCCTTCCTGTTGGGAAAGTGGTGCTGGGACTCCATCTGCTGGTGTCCCAGCTCCTGGCTCAGGACAGGGTGGGTGAGGTGGTGTGAAGCAGGTATCTCCTGCTTCACACAAGGAAGTAGCTGCCCCTGGAAAAGGGGACTGGAAGCCAGCCACAGTCACAAGAATTTATGATTTAACCCTGGCTTCACCTCATCAGTAACTGAACTCAGGATCTCAGAACTCTTATCCTAGTTCTGCAACTCAGAGAGCCTCAAGGAAAAGAACAAACACACACACACACACACACTTCTGGAACTCTTTCAGTCTTCCTCTGCTGCCTGGGCTGTTTGCAGTCACACTGCCACACTCTTAGTGTATTTGTAGAGGAAAAGGCTGTTTTCCCTGGGCAGTGAAATAACCACAGAGGTTAAAAATGGTCAGGAGCATATTAAATCCGGTCAAATTTTTGCAATTCATGCAAAAACCAAGCTGAAGGATCTCGAAAAGAGGGAAGACACTGACCTCCTTCCCACGTTCTGTCTGCGAGACTGGGAACTTGAGAATTCCCATATAGATAAAAAATGTCTTACTTCTGCAGAGGTGAAGTTTGATCTTATCCACAGGATTTGAATCAGAGTTCAGGCTGTTTTCTATCCTTTAGGATGGTTCTGACTTCACAGAAGCCACTCTGTTTTCAGAAACTGTTGGTACAGTCATTTTCATCTTCTTCCCTTTCTAGGGGGAAAAAAAAATCTTATTTTTCTTTAAGGCATTTCAGACAGAAAAAAAATGAAGTTTGAGGGAAAAATCAAGAATCAGAATTGGATTTTATAGTGCTTTAAGAAATCCCACTATGTTAAACCTGAGTAGCAATTACTTTGCAAACATATAAATACTTGCAGTGGAGATCAGCTTTATACACGTTCTGTGTAGAGCTGAGCCATTGCTTAAACATATCTAGAAGTTGTGGTGATATAAAGCTACAGAAGTTGCCTGTTCCTTTTCTTAGATCCTGATGATGAAGATTCCTTCCACAAACACCTGATTCCAAATCTATGTTCCTAGCTTCACTAGTCCCTTAAATCCTTGGCTGAATTACACTGTTCAGGAACAAGTCACTTCTGTACAAACGAGGGAGAGTAGAAAAATGAGTAATATCCTCTTTGGGGTGCAGAACACCGTCTGCTGTGTTTGTGCTTTGAGAGAACGCTGATTTTCTGTCTGGTCCAAATTCCTCTCCACAGAGGTATTCCCACAGGCAGGAAAAAAGTTTCCTACATGTTTCAAAGCATCAAAAATTTTAGGTTCCTGATTAGCTAATGTAAGAGAGGGCATCTGCCTTCTACTCCCTGCTCCATGAGACAAGGACACAACTATTCCTTTACAATTACAATATTAAATGATTCCTTTTTGCCTATCTACACTTCTCAGTGTCAATGGGAAAAGATGTTCCTTTCCTACCACAGAAACAGCTGAATGAAGTTGTGGGGTCAGAAGCTACGGGGTTGTCTCTGTGAGAAACAAAGGCATGGAAAATATAACAGAAAGTTTGGCAGTCGCAGTCCCCACCTGAGCCACAGCAGTGGCAGAAGTAAAGGTGTTCATACGAGTTGTAGTTTTCAATTGTGTATTGATCCTATAGCAGCATCTCAAGTTGAAACCTTTGTGTGGAAAACACTTCTGTGCCCCAGCCTAAGATCACACGGACCAGCTGCAAGCTCAGGACCCAGATCTCTACTCATTAACTCCCTCTGGCAGAGACAGGGCCTTTGTCTTGCTGTGACAATCTTGCTTGAATCTGAGGAAACTGATGCAGTCTTCACAAAGAGCCCCACAGACCTCCTCCTGTTCCCTATATGCATGCTGACAGCTGAATGTGGTGCACAGATATCCTCGAATTCTGAAACCTGAAGTCCCTACCATGAGCTGATCCCTATTATTTGGCCAGATGGCCAGCTTTTCTCATCTGCAATTCCCCTTGTTTTCTGACAGCTTTTAGTAGGTCAGGTGCCAGACAATATTTCTGCAATGTGTCAGGCCTGCCTTGACGACAGCAGTGTCCAGTAGAAGCCAAGCACCTACAGATCTGACCATTACATTCAGATGCCAAACTGGGAGTTGGGCTCCCTAGAAAACAAAGGAGCTGTGCTTTAAAAACAATCAGCAGGACCTTAGTGGTAAGAGATCAGTTGTTGTTTTTTGATTCTATTTTACTGGCTACTGAACTAAGAAACGAGGATGTGGCAGCTGGATGATACTTTCTCCATTTCATTTGAACTAACAGGATAAAACTATGCCACCAGTGAAAGAGGCTATGAACTGGATATATATTAATTACAATTATTTCCCCAATTTCCATCGCGCTTCTCATGTATATTAATTTTCCTCTGCCATATAAACCTTAAGGGAGCCCATTCTCAACAGCTGCTGACTTTTACCTGGCAGCCTGCCTGCAGTGCAATGTTCTTCTGTGTTGCTACCAGTCAGTAAAGCAGATCAGATCAAGTGGGAATGGAAAGCAGCCTGGTGAAGAGAGTTCTGCAAGATAATAGCTAAACAGATAGACTTAAGGTTTGTGAGGAGCTGTCTTTTAGAAGATGACGCAAAGGTTTATGTGGTTTTAAAATTAATTACGCAATCCATATCTGTCTGGAGTTATATTTTTCTTTTGTGCCAGAGGTAAAAAAAAGGGTATGTTAGGGAATTTGATAAAAGATGTCTAAAAACTGCTGTGTTTTTTCATGAAGGTCTACAAAATTTTAAATGTTTGCTGTAGTATAAAATGTAAGACTCTATTAAAAAAACAAAAACAAAACAAAAATTATCTTAAACAATATTGCTGCTAATAATGGTATCAGCTTTCTACCTTTTGCTGTCTGCTCTTAGAATCTCAGAGCTAAATGTGCATTGACTCATCAGAGATGATATAGGTAATTTGCATTTAACTCCTTGTGTCATAGCCTTTTGCTAGAATAAAACTAGGGCCCCTGCATGCTGCAGGGCATACTGCAGGGCATACTGCACACAAACACAAGAGGCAATTGCTGCCTTAGTGGATCCTCAGCTGAAGAATATAAAAGATAGGAGGGAATCTGTTTTTCTCATGTAGCATATCAGCCTGGTTTTCCTGTCATGAAAAATTGGCATTCTATAGTCTACAGAGGGCCTTGTCCACTCCGTCTTCCTGGTAGGGTGGCCTGGAACAGAACCTAATAAATTCACCCGTCCCTGCTCTCCCCTTATTTCTAATTCATCACCTTTGGTCAGCTCCTCATCCATCCCCAGGCACAGCTGGTCATTGACACAGGGCATGACCCCCCACTCCTCATTTTCCCACCTCCCCTTCCTAAAGAGCCTGTGTCCTTCCATTCCAACACTGCAGTGTCACGAGCCATCCCGCCACTTTGCCAGTAAGATCACAGCCCTGCAGGTGAGTGAAAGTCTCTAACTCCCCTTGTCCGTTGCCCATATCTTTGCACAGAGGCACTTGAGTTGGGCTCTGATGAAGGCCAAGGATTGGCTGGAGTGCCTGGAATTCCTTTGTGCTGCCACTCAGGGGCTTTCCTGCTTACCTGTGATCCCATTCTGGGCATCTCTTGCAAGCTTGGCTTTAAACTGATAGGATTGGGATGGGTTGAGGTTCTCCTCCCCCAGCAACTTTAAATTAAAGCCCTCACCAACTTGGCAAGCCTGTTGCCAAAGATGCTCTTCCCCTCCCTGCTGGAGACCCCAGCAGACCTCAGCAGACTGGGTTTCTCAAAGCGAGTCCTACAGTCGAAGCTGAACCCCTGGCTGTGGCACCAGTCCTGTAACCATTTAATGATTTTCCAAATTCAACAGGTTGGCGTTTTCAAACCCCCTTCCCGTTGACTGGAAAGACTAGTGAAAAAACTACCTGTGCTCCAGAAGATGATTGAGAGACTGGAGCATTTCTCTTATGAGGAAAGGCTGAGGGAGCTGGGCCTGCTCACTGTTGAGAAGAGATGGCTGAGAGGGGACCTCATCAATGTCTGTCAGTGTCTGCAGGGAGGGGTCAGAGGATGGACCAGGCTCTGCTCCGGGGTGCCCAGCAAGGGGACAAGAGGCAACAGGTAGAAACTGATGCCCAGAAGATCCATCAAAATCTAAGGAAGAACTTCTTGTAAGTGACAGTGCACTGGAACAGGTTTCCCGGAGAGACTGGAGAGTCTCCCTCACTGGAGATATTTCAGAACTGTCTGGACACAATCCTGTGCAATGTTCTCTGGGATGACCCTGCAACAGTGAGTTTGGACTGGATGACCCACTGTGGGCCCTTCCAAAGTTACTTGCTCTGTGACTGTGCTAGGCCCTGTTCTCTCAGGAATTCATGTCTTATCAAGAGCAAACAGTACCAGCCTGAGTAGGGACTAGACAAAACTAAAACTGCTTACAGCTGCACTCCTGCATGAACACCAAACTGGGGTGACTGCAAGTCAGTCGCTGCAGGCTGTAGATACCTGTAGCCACTGTGAGTCCAGGGAGCTCTCCTGTATGGCATGGTGGTGATCTCCCTGTGAGCAGGGACATAGCTCAAGGTTACTTCCTGAAGACCAGAGACCCCCTTACCTGGCATCTGATATCTATAATGGGGTAAGAACATTTTGCATTAAGCCTAAAAGTGTATTGTATGTTAGTGACATTTATATGTCCGGTTATAGCTTTAGAAGTGGAATACGTAGCAAAGTATAATCATTATTTAAATAATTGTTGAAATCATCAACTACATGGCTCTAATTAGAGGTTTTTATTATTGTTAAATCATTGTTAAACTGTGATTAAATTATCATTCAATTACTGCTTAATCATTTATCATTTCATTATCATTAAATAATTGATTAATTACCATTTGACTATCATCTAATCATTAATAAAACCCTTTTATTATCCCCATAAGGATGACTTCCCTTAAAAATTCACCTACAACAGTAGAGCTGTGAGTGTATAAATGGGGGAAAGGGGAAGACGAAATAGATGTGGTGATGGCTGCTAACACAAAAGATGTGGCACCTTTACTGTTGTTCATTTATGACTGTAAAGAACACAGCACAGTAATAAGGAAATGCTTTGTGAGCAAAGGCCTTTGATAATAAGGCTGTAAGTTTCCACTTGGGACAGGTCCCTGTAACAATCAAAATGCAAAACTGTACCAGGCAACAACCAGAATATTGACTCTAACCTTTGTCTGAAAGAAAAAATGTTTAGTCATATTGACAAAAAACATTCCTCTTTTAAGAGACACTCTCCGCTAAATGTTAATCTACCGACTTTTCCTCTGTATTCACCACCTATGCCTGATGAATACACAGTCTTCCTCCCCTCCCCCTGCAATGTATACATAAGGCTTGGTAAATGGGATACCCTGGTTCTCTGGGATACTGGTGATCTGCTTGAGTCCCAAGGGGGGAAGATGTGATAAATGCAGTAGCTGATAAATAATCTGTGGTATAATTAGTGTTGCCCTTGTTGGACAGACAAGCAAGCAGCAGATTTCCCATGTACAGGAGGGTGTTTATCCTGGCTTTTGTGCTTGCAATTGCTTGCTAAACCTGATGTACCTCTATGAAATGATTTTCTCAGTGACTGTATGAGAGCAAGCCAGCCTATGAATCTGCAGTGTACATGGGGATAGTTTCATGTCTTGCTACACTATCAGCACTTGCAAATTTCCTAAACAGCCTTTGATTTTAAATGTCAGTGACTTCCACCATCAGGTTTCTTAGGTGCTCCTCATTTCCATCGGGAGAGCTGCCAGGTAGCACAAGGTGACCCTTAAAGCACTGGGATTAATAGCAGTTACCTCAGTGGTGATGGTCAAAGAGGAGAGGGCGGTAGATAAGAAAAGCTGATCCCACCTCCACTCTCTGCCCTCCTTGCCAGGCAGGACACGCACATGGCACTTCAGTGTGCCCGTCTTCAGCCCCCTTGCCCAGGCTTTTGACCAGGGAAATTCTGGCCACGCTTCTATCTCGGCTGAGGGTTTGAGTGGCACCAAGCAGGGGGCAGGAGCCGGCTGGGTTTATTCCTCTTTCCTTAAGAGTTCTACCAACCTTCCCTAACGGAAGGGCCGTTTATTTAGGCCCAGCCAGGCTCTGACCACCAGCCCTCCTGCTCATCACCATATACAGTCACATCCCCGGAGCAATCACAAACAGATCTCGATCACTGGACACTTTTCCCTGCCCTGCTGGCTCCGGTGCCGCAGGCACTGCAGCCCAGCCCCGCCGGTTCCCGCAGATCACGCCCTTCCCCACTGCTCGTAAGCCGGCAACTTCGTGCCCCCCCCCCTTTCCCTGCTCCCCCCAGCCTCGGTGCGGCCGCCCCTTTACCCCTGAAAGCCAAACCCCCAGGACAGCCCGATCCTGCCGGGGAGATTTACCCGATCCGCAGGGCAGCCCCGCATCGCCACTCCCGCCGCTATCTTGGCACTGGGCTTGTGGCTCACTGCTTTTCCGCGAATTTCTCTCCTCCCTCTCGCGCCGTGAGGGTGGGATTAAAGGCATCAAAGACCAAACATGTGACTCCGCCGGCACAGGGACGCTTAAAGGAGGGGAAGGGGAGATGGCCGCAGGGGGTTACCGAAAACCGGGGACGGGACTGGCCCAGTGAATGCAGGTTCAGGAGCAAAAGGCGAGTTGCCCGAGCCCCGGGAGGATGCCCGGGGTGGAGACGGCAGCGCAGCCGGAGCTGCTCATTCCTGCTCGGGGGTCCCCGAATGCTCCATCGCCATCGGCGGGACTCCCGCATGGGCAGCGCAGCTCCCGCAGCCCGTCCCCAACCAGGAGTAATCTCTGCCAGGTGTCAACCTCTGTCCCCTCTGCCGAGTGTCCCCGCCGGCACCCGCATCGCCCTCCCCAGCCGGGACCTGGTAGACGCTCTGGACCTCCTGCCTCACTCTGGGGCGGGGTAGATCACCGGGACCCCACAAGCTCGAGTGGAAAGTCAATGTTATGAGTCACCGGCTGGTTCTTTATGTGCGTGTCAAGCGTCACAGGTGGAAACACGAAACTTTTACTGTCTCAGTCCGTAACTTCCTCATAGATCAAGCGAAGAGGCTCGTTAGCTACACCAAAATTTGTGTCAGGTTGTTCAGGATTCAAACATTTTACCAAACTGATCCAAAACTGCCACTGACGTGCTTATTCCCCTCCCCACCCTCTCCTCCTCCTCTCCATGTTCCACTTCCCTCTTCTACACACACTTTTGAGCCCTGTGACCGTAATACCTAATTAACTACAGTCACCTGAAATATGCCTCACATAAAGTTTTCTGTCTTTCATTATAAAAACTCCGTAGTTTTGTGCCTGCAGCTCCAGAAAACAAAAGTCTATGTATTTGGGCTCTGACCTCTTGTAGGTCTAAGAAAAATCTGTGGGGAAAAGAAAAAAAAAAAAAAAAAACAAACCAACCACCAAGAAAAAAGATCCCTTAGGTTGTTTCAGTAAAACACAGTTCTAGCACAGCTAGAATTTTGCTACTGCCCAGTTCTGTAATCAGAAGTTTCCAGCATGAGGTATGTTTTTAATTTTAGCATAGCAATTTCTATCATCCTTTCTAATAAGCATGATGAACAAAGGAACTCAGATGTCCATGACTGTGATCCTTATTTTTAGTACTGGCAAAAGCCATCTCACATCTAAGACTTCTTGCAGAAACAATGTGGAAGAACAGGGGGGAAAACAGAGGAACAGTAATGCTCATAATAAACAACGCAATCGAGCATCACAGTTGGGTTCCTATAGTGACTTCCTAGGAAAAGGTCCCCCAGTTTACTTAGATGGATGTTGTTCTCTGAAAATAATGAGGCAAGACAGTAGAAGAAATCACAGTTTCTCAGGTGATTTGCTTTCCAAAATCCTTCTTTGCTACCTCTGCCTCTTTTTCTGTTTTTAATGACAGTGATTCATACTTTACCTTCCACTTAAATACTCTCATGCCTTCAAAAGTTGATGCATTGGAAAAACAACAAATCTTGAAACGGAACAGAGAAAGAAGGGTGTATGAAAGTACTAGGGGTGAGACAGAGAGCATACATTCCTAAGAGGTCCATTACTATGTTCTTCCTAGGATTAGAGTTGCAGAATGTGTGAGGAAAAAAAATATTTTTTCCACTTCTGTGTCAGTGAGCAAATGGGAAAGTGACTATTAAGCAACATCAGCAGAAACATGTCCCATTGCACCCAGTACTACATTTCAGATGGTGTTTCAGCCAGCAGAACAATTTGGGATAATAAATGAAAAAGAATGGGCCAGAGTGCCTCTTCTTTGGGAATAAACTGTTAAGTAATTGAAATTTTGTGTAATTTTTTGTGTGATTTCTGTACAGGCTTCCCTGCTCTCACTTTAGTCACTTGCACACTCTTCAGGGAACACTTGACTTTCATCCTTAAACATTAGTTCTTTAAAACAGCTTCTGTTGGACCCAAAAGACTGAGTGGGAAGAGCCTTAAGTGATCTGAGGGCTGTGGCACAGAACAACAGTGGAAGCCTGTCATTCCTGACTACTCCATTCTTATCATGGTGCTGTCTCCTGCTGTGCATGAGCATAAGGGAGACAGATCTGGCTGAAAAAACAATCTTATTGTGGATTATTTCTTGGCCAAGTCACTTTATCTCATCAGCTCCCCATACCATATGACTATGTCAGCATAGCAGAGAGGGAAATCAGAGATTAACATGTGGGGACAAGACTGCTTGTGCAGTAACCCAACTGCAACCTGAAATGCTCAGAAAAATAGTAACTTATGAAATTATTCAGCCTGTACAATAATAGGATAGGACTTAAAAACTATAACCAGAAAAAAATCTTGTGAGGATTTATCCAAGTAGTGAAGGTTCAGCCCAGCTGTTCAGATTTGAGTATTTTCTGTTGCCAAAGCACCTTTCCCCTTTGCTATCCACTCTGACAGCCTTGATGGCACTGAGCATTTGTGCAAGGGAATGGGGATAATATTTTGTTGTGCTTTGCCTGAGATCAAGTACAGCTCCTGCTTTTCATAAACAGGAGTGTGAGAGGCAGGACCAGCTAGGCAGGTGATATTTAGATACTTGCACAATGTGCAGGCACAGCAGAAATTCATGGTCTTGGGGGCTGCTAAACTGAGAAGCCTTGTTTCTTATGGAGTTGCAATATTTGTGCCCTGTGCATGACTGTCAAAATATCCTTACTCCTGTCTCATGTTCCTTGCCCGCTCCTGATTCCTTAGCTTTCCTCCCACACAGTAGTTCTACTGCTTCATGTTTTCACCACGAGGCCAGGGCATGAGGGTGTGCACACTCCAGCTGACTTTGAGCTGCATGTTCTGATTATCCAGCCAGCAAATCAAACAAAAGCTTCCTGTTCGGAGTGAGCTGAAGGCTTACACCCAGAAGGATGGAGATGTTCATCTCTCTGCTCTGCAAGAGGCTGCATGAAGGACATGGCAGCAAACTTGTTTGAGACTTGCTTCCTTCAGCCAGTTGCAATGAAATTTGAGAAGTGTGTTCAACATTTATTAGGGGCAGGAAGGAATCTGTCAAAAGACAGAAAGAAGGAAAAAAAGAAGAGAAGTAGAAAAAAACAAAACGTTTTGCAAGCCTGATCTCCTTAGGTAAAAATCCAAAGTGACTGCATTCTAGCAGGAGGAAGGAATAATGTGTTTAGCATAACTTGTTGTACCAGTATGCACATAACCTGTAAAGGCTGCGCCTCCTCCACAAACACTCTAAGAAGTTCTCTAGTGACAGTACTATTCCTTTATGTACAGATACCAGATGATAAAAATTACTTGGTTATTCCTGTACTGTCAGCTACACAATAGATATGTTGTTCTTGTAGACATCTGCTGTTCATTTCAAAAGCTTAATTTTAAAATACTTTTCTTTCCTTACTAAGGTTTTATAGGAGGAAACCTCTCCCCTCCCAGTAAATCAATAAATATTTCCTGCTTCTATTCTGTTTCTTTAAGAAGCAGCAGACATTTCTAATGTGTGTTTTGAATAGAAATACAATACTGATGATAAATTACATAAAGTGGCTTTATCTTTTTTTCTTTCAGACTCAGTATTGGTCACTGGGAACAAAAAGTGTTCGAAGTCCTTTGCTGTTCACTGGAGACCTTATATGTCAAGGCTATTGTGTTTAACTTTAGACAACAGTAGTTAAAGGAAACACAGCTCCAGTGGGGATGGACTCATGCTGGTTTAGCTGTCTAGGGTAAGTTAATGTTCCCTAAAAAGGCTAAAATATTATGATCTCCTTTTCATCCTGGTCTGTGCATTTGGTTATTTCTTCAGGACTAAGCACTGTTCATGTGTTTCCCAGGCCTTCCCTCTACAGAGTCTCCTATATACAACTGCATCCAAGACTTTTCAGGTGTATTCTAATAACTAATTCATCTTGCAGATAAATTATTACTATTCCTGTAACCTTTTCTACCCACACTGCACACATCTGAAGATGACAGAAACACTTACTGTAGTCTCATTCACTTTAGAGAGTACTGGGTACACACACAAAGCTTTTCTATGCTTCCTTTGCTTCTCTGATCAAATCATTAGGTAGGGCTAAAAAAATACTAGTGTGAGCCAACATGGTGATGCGTTAAATGATGATGGAATTTCAGAAAGACTTAACTGTGATGACAGAGAAATGGATGTATCTTGGTCAGTGTAGTTGCATATGCTCTGGGGATCCAACTTCCTTCCCGTCTTGCTCCAACATTCTGACTCTTGCAGACTGCAGAGTATTTCAAAGACAGGGACAAACATTGTCATTTAGACTCAGAGTCCAGTGGCTCTTCAAAATATCTCTTAAAATACACTGGCTCTCAGTTACTTGCTCTGTTCTCCAACATAGAAGACTGGTCTGGAACAGACTTTTTGCTAAAAAAAAGATACTGCTGCAAAAAAAGAAAATGGGGTGAAGAGGCAAACCAGAAAATTTCCAAGCTGAGAGTCAGAAGGAATTGACCCCCAGAGACTGCAGGAATGCTTTTAGTTTTCCCTTTCAGAATGTAGTAAAATTATTTTGTGTGGTCACTGGGCACATTTCACAAACAAATTCTCTGCCTGTGTGAGAGGCACAGAGAGTTAGTAATTTCTCTGCTCTCTTTCACTGCAAATTTTAGGTGAGCACTTCTGGAACTAAAGGTCTGATAACTGCATGAGAGAAATGGCCTGTCTAGCTGGAAAGTCTGAGTACCACTCATATAAGGTTATAACTACACAAAGACTCTCAGGAAAATTGTATCAAATTATGATTATTTTAAAAC